ACCTCGATGCTGAAAGTGCAAACTGAATGCTACAGTCATTTTTAACGTTTCATAACAACAGGTATCTTCATCACCTGATCTTAAAGTCCTTTCTCAATCCTGTGTGTTCTTTACTGGGGGAGGGGGAGATTTGCTCTATGCAAATGACAGTTTGCTTGAAGAAAAGAACAGTGTACTTACATACATATTTAATAGACTTAATTCCCAGAGCATGGCTGGTTTTCTCGTTAATTTTCAAAGTAACCGTTTAAATCTCCAAAACTTTTCATTCCGCCACAGTTAAGTTAAAACATCACAATCAGTTGTCCACTCCTGGGCTCCTGGTCCCAGGCAGAGTCAGGAGCACCTTTTCAACAGAGAAAAACCAAGACAGATGGCAGCTTTCATCCTCACATCGGGTTTAAAATCCCGTTTTCTAGGACCAAGTTACCACCATGCCGCCTGCAGGGCTGTGCTGCAGTCCTGAATTCACCTGCCCTGCCCCTGGCTTTTCCAGGAAGCCTGCCCTGGGCCTCGCCTCACTCACACACACTCTCAGAGAGAAGTCAGGGTGCAGTGGTCTACTCCAAGGTACAGTGTGGGTCAGGTCTCTCTGTATCAGTTTACACGACCTCTCCCGCCGGTGCCCCTGGGAGGCACACTTTGTATCACCTGCCTCTGTGCTTCTGCACATGATCCTGCACGTCCGACACTGGGAAGTCATTTCTCTGCCCCACTCCCATCTATGGACCTGTCAAAAATAAGCCTTTCCTTTAAAGCCCAGTTTCAACACCACCTTCTCCAATCCGCCTTCCAGCATCCCACAGAGCCTCAGCTCACACTGTGGGCTCCCTGCAGCCAGAAACAGCAGCTTGCTTCTCTTCATAGGTATCCCGTCCATCAGAGGACTTCCCCAAAACTTCAGTGCGCTCAATGGAATATTCAGCTCTGCAAATGCTGAGTGAAAATGAGTTTCTACTGCAGCAAATACTAATGCACCAGCAACTGGGCTCACTGATAACAGGAGCTTAATTTCTACCGGGCTGGGTAATCAAAACTAAAACTGAAGAAAGGAAAAAGAAACCTAAGCAATCAAAAGCGACTTTCCAGAAAAGTATATGTCTTTACACCTTCCCCTCCTTCTGGAGGCCCCTAAATACTCTAGGGACATCTCTTTTTGACTCGCCAAACTTCACTGCATCTGACACAGGAACAGCAAAGCCAGATCACTGAGGAAGCACAGAGTTAATCTGCCAAGACACAAAGACTTCAGTTCAAAGGACACTAACACATCCTCAGGCAGAGAGGAGGCATCTTCGCCATCTGTGTAATCACCTCGTGATGTGGCAGAATTCCTTCTGGATGATCCACAGTATTATTCATAACACGGAGTCCCCTCCACAGCAAGCCAAATCTAACTCTTCCAGTCCTCTGTTTTTTAAGATATTACCTAACATCAATGGCCATGTGATTCATCTACCCAACAATAAAACAGCAGTGCTCAAAGTAGAATCAAGACACCCAGCTCCTGACCTTCCCCTCAGCAGCTCCCAGACAGGGCCCTCTGGTTTCTACAAATGGACTCACACCCAAAACCCTAGGACCACGGGCTTCAGAGAGAAGAAATATATAATTTTCTGATTCTTTACGACATTTTAGCTACTCACCGTATACTTCATAAGCATATTGAGGGGCAGACAACATCAGAGAAAGGGAGAAATAATGGTAATAATAAACTACAAAGTATTTGCACAATCATGATACTAGATCTGACTTGTGGTCACTCTTTTGGGTACAAGGTTAACATGGAACGCTCATTCAACTAAACCTCTATAAACAGTTGGTTTTCCGAGATCACAGCCGCTCTTCCCATGTTAGCGGGCAGCAGCGTTGAGAGAAAAGCCAAACGTAGGTCCTATGTAATAAATACCAGAAAATCCAGAGACCAAAAGAGCGAGAAATGCGGCTCACGTGTGTGGCCACCAGGAACTAAATGCAGTTCCTGAGGAACTGATAGCAACAGGCCTCCCTGCTGCACTCCACAGATGAGGAGGAACAGTCTTCTCCAGCCCTCCGTGTTTCAATGCAGAGTGGTTTCAGCAAGACAGAAATGACCAGGAAACTGTTCTCTTATTACTATCCACTGTGCACACGCTAAAGGACAGAGGGGTGGAATCATTTGTCCCAGCCTATGACAAGAGACTGACAGAGGAGGCCAGAACCCTCCCCTAGGTTCTCATGTGCAAGAACAGAGCCGGGCAAGCCTTCTGCAAACACAGCGGCTCCCAACAGGTTCTCCTACGAGAAGCCCGCTGCTGAGAGGAATCCCCAGGTCTTGCGGGGACTGACCTGAACTTGCCACTGCACAGCCCAAGCCGACATCACAGTTAAGAGATCACCAAGTACTATAGTTCCTGGAAAGCCAAGAATAGAACACAGGTCTGCTGACCCTGGCCCCGGTGTCCAGGTAGGCGTGTTCTCTAGGATGTGGGCGCCCTTCTGATGTTTCGACTCACTTGAGAATAGCAAAAGAAGTAAGTTAATAATTCTGGAAAACAGAAGACAACGTGGACATTATCTGGACTGGAGAATTCCCTATAAAAAGGAGCATGACCATAAGACAATTTCCACCAAGGAATTTTCCAACAAAGAACATTGGAAATTGCAAATTTTCTCATCTTTTGCAACAAAAATGAAAAAATAACCTTTGTCCTCCCCTCCCTGTGAGCTGTAAATGATTAGCTTGGCTGTGTGATAACTAGTGTGGAAAATACCAAAGGAGAGGCTCTCCCAGCTTTTTAAAATACTCAAGACTCAGGAACTCCTCCAATGCCACCAACAGAAGAGGACACACTAAGTAGACAGCAGTCACAATGAAGCCACCACTGTTGCAAACCACTCTTCTGCTCATCCCAGCACCGTGCCCCAGTAATGAAACCTGGCACAGGCAGTGTTCTAGGTGCCAGCAGAAGAGCGACTGGGAAAGGTCTCAGGATGGACAAGCTGAGAGTGGTGCACACAAGAAAAGCTGTCACCTAAAATACGCACCATCCACAAGAAGGGACAACCAAGAGGGTGAAGAGGAGGCTGGGTGTGGTGGTGCACACCTGCAATCACAGCACTTGGGAGGTTGCAGCAGGAGACCAGAGTTAGAGGCCACTCTGGGCTACACAATGAGTTCAAGGCCACGGTATACCAGGCCTCTATCTCTAAAAGGGGAGGGAGGTGACAGCAGGAAGAGGTTAGATGAAACTGACTTTAGTTTCTAATCAAAAACAGATGAAAAGTTCAAGGTTAGCCAGGTCTACTTCCACCAGGGAGGTAAAACATTAGAAAAAATTGCACCTGGTGTTTCCAAACAGATAGCAGCTTTCGATTTAATGTCCAACTATGCTGTTACACATTTATTTGTCTTAAACAGTCAAGATAAAATGACTCTCCAGATCTCTCCCACCAAGTTCTTGATGACTTACAACTTCAGCAGAGCGCAGGACATCGAACACTGGAGAGGCCAGTCACAACCTTAGGACGAACCTAACCATTCATCTCTTTCATTCAGTCAAGCCAAAACTATACCTGGTCAAGGCACTTCAATTAATTCTTAAAAATCTGCATCAAACGTGAAGACCTGAAATCTCCAGAAAACCTAAAAGAAGAGTACTTATTTAATTGTCCCATGGTAAATACCTCTTTGCAATCTATTCTGGAAAGCTAAAAAAATTGATTCATCAGTTCCATTCTATATTTAATTTCAATATTTATAAGCAATTTTCTCTGTCATTCTCAATGACCTATCTCAGCATATTTAGATGCATAATAAACACTAAAAGTTTAACTTCATTATCACTGACTGATACAAGTCATCAACCACTCCTGGGCTATGTATTTAAAAATCTCAAAAAACTTCTCCATTATGTGTTACCATGATCCTTAAGGTAGTATTATATATGTAGTAAATGTCCAGAAAAACAAAATAATTTTTAAAAGAGCCAATCAAGTAAGAGGAAGTCAGTAAGCAACATACCACAGAAAACAAAAGAGCAAACCAGCACTGACTGCCTCTTCCTTTATAATGGATATTCTTCAGTCATCCCCCAGCTTCCTAAAAAAGCAGCCCACCTGGGGGGCAGGTTAAATATTAAAGCCGCCTCTCCAGCCCTAAGGAGAACTTCCTGCTCCCAAAAGCTCTGCAGCCTTTTCTGGTCCCTTCCCCAGGACCCCCATTCTGTGGCCTAGCAGGCAGGAAGGCTCCCGCAGGGGTCCTCAGGGTACCTCTAAGGAGATCCCGAGTCGGGCAATCAAGTGCACCTGAATTCCCTCCCAACGTTACCTCCCTGCATTTTCACTCTGACTTTTCCATAGCAAACCCTTCTATCACAACTTTATCAGGAGTTCAGCAGCTGTCAGATCTCAGCCCTCAGTCTATGATATAAAAGGACGTTTTAAGAAGCTCCAGTTAAACAACTTACAAAAGCTCTGGTTTATCAGTCCAGTGAAAAATGCTGTCTTTTAGGGCTGGCATAGTAAAGGAGTTAAAGACACAGGAACATTAAGTAAAGAGGGCAAATCCCAACAGAATTCAAAGTATAGCAAGCTATAAGCCTCTTAATTCTATCAATGTGTTTGGTTGATGAGTTTCGTCCCTTACCATAGCGAAACTAGTGATAAACGCTATCGTCAAACACTGTATTTAAAATTAGATGTTTTTAATAAATAAACAAACAAAATAAAGTTAGAGGTTAAGTTTCCAGCAACCTTTGCCCCTCAACTCACTAATTCTGCCCCCACAGACCTTGCTACAGTTCGGACACATTCTTCAGAGAGGTAAACATGTCCCTTTAGCATCTAAAACTATGAGCTAAAATTAAAAGTCACGGAACTGAGGCAAACAATTGTAGAGGCCAGAGTGCGTCTGAGCACAGCACAGGGTTAAAGGAAACCATTTCGTAAAATCAAATGTGGAGAAGCAGCAGGAGCAGAGAGGAAGAAAACCCAGTTACATAAAGTCCGATTGTACTCACTGTCTCCTTATTGGGAAGCAGCTCCTTTCTAATTCTGAAGAAGTTCTTTCCGTACTGCCGGAGTCCCTTAACGAAGCGCTTCTGTGATAAAAAGAAACAACAAATAGGATGTAAAAGCCAAAAACAAAACAGGATGTCAGCACAAGAAGACATCTGCAATCAGCAGAACCAACCCCCACGGAGAAGTCCTAGCTAGGGAATACTGGCTTTGCCGGGAGCGTTTCAGGAGCACAGCTGGGACCCACAGGCTTCCAGCGGAACCCCGAACTGGGGCACGGGCCGAGAGGAGGGCTTCGCGGGTCCGGAACCAAGATGGTCCGTGCCGCCGCCGTACAGACTCGTCCACCAAGCTGTAAACACAAACATGCCCGCGCCTCAGAGCAGCATGACCACCTTCCACCGGAGAACGAGCTGCCCAGCAGAGTCTGGGAAAAGGGAGAGGGCCGCACAGGGCCCTCCTCCGGAGAAGGGTGCCCCGGAGGGTTAAAAGGCCTCCTTCCGTAATCCAAGGAATGCACCAGGCTGCACTGCTACCGCGGAAGCCCCCAGGGAGCGGATCCCAGCGGGCCTGCCCCGCCATCTCTGGCGCTGAACCCCACTCCAAATAAAGATGCCTCAGCCCCCCACCCCGGCTCCCTACCGGCACCCCTCACCGCCCCCCACCCCCGCAGCAGTCTCGGCTCTCCCGTGCCCAGCCCGGAGACTTTCACTTTGTCCCGTTCTTCCCCAGCAGCCCTCCCACCTCGGCCCCCACCTCGGGGTTCCGAGTCCGGTCTGCGCGGCCGCCCAGGCAGCCACAGGTAAGCGTAGTGTGGGGCGAGGGGCCGCCGCCTGTCACTGGGCACTGGCTCCACAAAGCACAGGGCGGAGGCGGCGACAGGCTGTTCGGCGTGTGACCGTGGCGGGGCCGCAAGGCCGACAGCGCAAGGCTGGGGCCGCCGCCGCCGCAGCCACCGCCGCCGCCGCCGCCGGGGGAGGAGGCTGGAGCACGGAGCACAGAGCGCGGAGCCCGGCACCGCCGAGGGCAGCTGCAAAAGGCGGCCTGGATCGCCGGCCGCGCCTGGCCCCGCCCCCGGCCGACCCCCGCTGGGTAGTGGAGCCCCCTGGGCCCCTGCACTGGGCTTTCTCGGTCCTGCTTCAGAGCCGGAGTGCATCAGGCGGCTAAGCACAAGAAACTTCCTTCCTACCGCGGCGAGCTTGGGGAGAGGCGCCTGCAGGGTCCAGGCCCTCCTAGGGCCGTTGGGTCTCCAGCTCAAGCTTGGGGGGGGGGGGGGTACAGGCCTGCCACTGCTGGGCCACAAGCCCAGTGCGCCTCGCAGGCGAATAAGGGGGCCTATTGGCTGACCCTCACCACCCCTTCCGGTGCGCGATTGTGGGCGGCCGTTCCCTTCCTAGCCCAGGCACTAGCCCACACTTCGCAGGGCACAGATCCACAAGTAAATCACCGCGAAAGAGTCCCAGGCAATAAATCACCTGCCCACGGGGAAGAGGGGCCCTCCTCCTCCTGGTGTTTGATATCCGCCTGGCAAAGGCAGAAGAGGCCCAGACTTGGCCTGCAAAACTCATCTGCAATCTCCTACATCCTGGAGGCCTTGTGTTTTCTGATTTCACCCCTTGCTAAGATATGAGTCATCACTGTCAAATTCCAGGGCAATTCACAGAGTTTGACGGGAAAAATCTGTCAAGGAACCAGCAGACTGCACAGCTTTCTCTGGTCTGAAGAAGTGGCCTGTGTTACTCGACAACAGTATCATTCATATACTCAACAGGTATCGCAGGTTGTGTGCACACAGCATCTCCACAGGGCTGTGGAGGCAGAGATGACCCTGCCTTCAAGGAGTTCCAGGCTAAGCAGGGAAGCAAACAGGTGGACAGATGGACCTCTGGACTGCAGGAAAGCAGCCCAGGAACAAAAAAGGTGGTGGGTGGAGCTCCAAGCCCCTTACTCTGCCTCCTGCTGTCTTAAGAGGAATACACAGGATTTTGCCAGGTGGGCTCCAGCAGGCCTTCAAGTCTTCCAAGAAGGGCACAAGAACATTCTAAGAACTGCGAGGAGGACAGGGTGTTCAGACAGGAGTCCCTGCAGAAAAGACTGGGTAGCAGGTGACAGTGGGGCTGCAGTGAGCCCTGAGGAGCTAGGATTTGAACTGCAGGATCAGGCATACAAAGCAGGAGTGTTCCCTGCAAACACGGGACAGAGACTGCTCCAGGGGCAGGTGGCCGAATGTGAATTAGGGACTGAACAGGCAAGGCCAGTGGCACAGCCCAGGGGTGAGGCGAAGGGGTACCTGACCTACTGTTATCAGGATTCCTGCTTATTGCTGGGCAGGTGGCACATACCCTTAATCCCAACTACTCAGGAGGCTGAGGCAGAATGATCACAAATTCACACGGACCACTTAGCAAGACCCTGGCTCAAAAGATAAAAGGGGGATACAGCTCAGGGGTAGAGTGCTTCTAGGGCTGATCCCTAGGACTGAAAGGGAAAAAAAAAGACGTTCCAGGCTGCCACAGAGCCACATGAAAACCATGCTTGAATGTACCCAAGACTCAGCTGCAAGCACTGCAGGGTGTCAGTGCTGGTGTACAACAGAGCCAAGGCCGCCTCGAAGGCGAGTCTGCCAAAGGTAGAGAGGCCCCAAACTCACTTCCACGTGCTGCACACAACTGTCATGGGCCTATGTCCTCGAGTTGGTGGCTACTAAAATGGATGGACTCACAAATACCTGAAAGGAAACCTCACACAGTCACTGGTTACAGAGGGATAGCAGCTGTGGACTATGGCAAACAATCTCAGGCCGAGAATGTCACTGAAGAGTACTCTGAATGCAAGAAAATAATAAATTAAAACTGACTCACTTTCTAGCATTTTAAAATCTAGAATTAAAAAGACAAAGGTATTCATGGACAGTGACTCATTTTCAGCAGGAAGATAAGTACGTATATAGTCCCGAAGAGCAACTGTGAGACACCTATCCAGCCAGGCTCGCAGGAGTGAAGGGCAGCGCATCAGTGCAGCAAGGAAGCCTGGAAGAGGGTGGGTGCCATGGCCCAAGCAATCCAGAATGCTCTGCCAGGCAGAGGACAAGGGCCAGGTCACCCAGAAGAGGCCACGTCTGTGCAGGCAGAGGGGCCTGAAGGAGGCACCATGGCCGGCGGTAGGGAATGGAAGCTGAGTGGTGATCTGGAGGTACAGACATGGCCAGAGCCATGAACTCAAAGGTGGGCTTCATGCCAGGCAACACACAACAGGTTTATCAGAAGACAGTGACACAAGGCAACTAGCATGTGAGGAAGGCTGATTCTGGAATCTCAGGGTAATGTGCTGAAGTGGACAGGCGAGTTCAGATCCTGTCTCCTCCATGTAGTATGATGCAATCAGGTGGACATCACTCTAGTCTACCATTAGTAAACACCTGCTAAATGCCAAGAACCTCTTTTATGAATTCAAAACCTAAGACAGAAGGCCTATTATTTTCTCAATTTCGCAGCCAAAAAAGTGTAAATGACACAGTTAAGTAACCCGAGCAAGGTCAACCAACTCCTCAGAGGTAAAGAACTCCAGCTCAGTCCCTAAGCCCACGTGCTCTGCCGCGGCCTCTGTAAGTACAGGCATTAATGATGACTGTTTTGTGACTGTGCACTTCGCAGTGGGGTCAGCGTTAGCTCATCAGCTGCTCACTATTCTCCCTGAGGAAGACTGCTCAACACCCTCCTGGCCTGCCCAGCCCTACGCCAGTCCTGCGGCGGGCCCGCATCCCTCTCGTTTTAGCCTCCTAACCTACCTCCCCCAGCCGGCCTGGTTTATGCCTCTGTCCGAAACTACAGGTTACCCTGAATGTCTCACCTCTTTTCCCTCGCCCCTACCTAGGAGAAACACTCTAAGCTCTGCAGGACAGTGTTTGCACCCATGCAGCCCGACTTCAGGGCTCTCTGTCTCTGGGTCTGCGTTGCCCACCTTTCCAGGGCCACTTGTAGAAACCCAAGCTCAAGCCCTTCCTACTCCAGAATGAACTTCCCTGTGCAGTCAGTCCCTTGCATTCTCTTGTTTGTATAAGGCCTGTTCATCCATAAAGTCTGTAATGCTGCGGGACTGAGAATCATGCCACTTTGCCTCCCTATGGCAGCAGGCAATAGCCACTCACTGTATTTTGGAAGCGTAGGGGAATCAACCTTCACGTAAGGAGTGCCTGGGCTGGGGTGATCAGAGTGGAAATTAATAGCCCATTAAAAGCAGCAGGGCCCATGCCAACTCTGGTAGGAGAGAAGGAAGCACTCCTGGCTTTCCTCAGGTCACCTGGGCTAATTCTCTACTCAACCTCCAACTGTAGTCTTCCTCAAAGCTGTCTTCTATGCTTTCTGCTCTCCAAACCCCTCTGAATGTGGCCTCTGCTATTTCTTTAGCTCTAAATGTAACCCAGCCCAGGTGTGGTGTACATGCCTATAATCCCAGCATATGGGAGGCAGAGGCAAGAGAACTGCCACAAATTATGGGCCAAACTAAACTATATACTTAGACCCTGTCTCTAAACAGCCAAATAAAGGTAAACCAAGGTTCTCACGAGTATTTCTAAGGTGATATCTATGTTCCAAACGCACTGAGAGTGTTCACTTGACTATCTCATACACTTCTCAAGCCGCTTCCAGAAATTCGAATTTGACACCTGGTGGTTAAGGAAACCTAGCACGTGTCCATGATTGTGCTATCAAATGTAAAGCACTCTTGGACCCACTTAAAAAAAAAAGAGGAAGTTAAAGCTTCATGTGGCCAGTACTGTTACTTCTCTATGGAAAGCCACAAGGCCTCAAAACCAGCAAAACATCTGCTTTGTAGGGACCAGCTTCTACCCTGTGGTTTACCAGAAACTGAACAGCCTGCCTTTAAAACTAGAACAGAAATGGCCCCTTTAGAGCAGAGAGTGACTGGAATAGTTCAACATGAGAAACAGACCTCTGAGGCTGTTGTCTCCTTTCCCGCCATGGATTCATCCCCTTCAGATGAAGACCTTGATGTTTTGAACTCTAACTTAATGACACTGTCAGCTTATAAATAGACAGGTATTATTAAGCTTCTAAACGAA